TTTTTGTTACTGTGTGGCTATCCTTGTAAAGGAAAAAAAATGGGAATTGGCGAAACTGGCCTGAAGTGATTTCTGTAACTGTGAGAACTACTTGAAGTGCTTATAATTTTGGTTTGTTTCTTTATACCTTTAGGGAAGCGTGCTTTTGGTTGTGTTTATTCTTCACTGTATAAATTTCATCTGCACAACTCCCCTCAGTTGGAAACCTTGAGTATTAATGTATAGTAAATGTAAAGTATAAAAGTCTTCTGCATACGCAGTTGGAAATAAAGAACCCCTAGTTTAGATACTTGGCAGTGTTTGGGTTTATTTAATAGTTTACACATTCACACGGCCACATCTTTTTGGTACCAGGAGTGGGGTTCATTCCTTCTGTTGGTTTCCTCTTAGGGGGAGTGTTTTTTTTCTTTCCGTGAGTAAAATGCTAACTGTTAGTTCGCTTGGGGAGATAGACAACGGTAGTGGTGAAAGGAGGGTCACGTGTCAGAGAGAGAGCCATGCACAGAGGTGGGAAGGACTGCAGGAAAACAAGGAGCCAGGGTGCCAGGACCAGTTGGAAAGAGGGAGCGGCATTAGACTTTGTTTGTGTGTAAACTTTACAGAGACTGAGACCCTTTATAACTGAGGCACAGGTTCATGGAGGCGGACGTTTCTAAGGAGGGAGCCACCTGGGGGGAGGATCGCCCAGGTGCTGGCGCTGCTGCCAGGGATTACGATGGTGAGAGAGGTAACGTGTTCTTACAACTCCGGTCACAAATACAGGAGCTGGGGAGGAGACACGATCAGGTGATGTCAACACTTGCTGGGCTGAGCACTGTTAATACCAGGTCGTATGTCTATATTCCCAGGGAAAAGCAAATTGTTCCTTACTGTGGCGACGCTAGTAAAGATTGCCAGACCGTAGATTAGTTTATTGAGGAACTCGAACGAGTTATTCGCGTAAGGGGACTGACTGAAGAGGATCAAATAGACTTTATTTTGTCACACTTGAGGGGATCGGCTCTGGATGAGGTTAAACTGTGTATAGGGGGGGAGGATGCACAGCCTCGGGAGCTGCTTGCATATTTGAGGGCCACATTCCGCGAGAAGCGTACAACCCCTCAGTTGTTACACGCCTTTGATGCAAGGAAACAGTTAGAGGGGGAAGATCTCAGAGAGTATTCACATGCCTTGTCGACAATGTTAAATGCGGCACTCCAACAGTCACCTAATGCAGTGCCGGATGTGCAGGTAGCACTAAGGGATCAGTTTGAGGAAGGGGTAAGGGATTTCCATACTCCGTCTGGAATTGCGCAAAATAATGCGGGATCGACCTCGTGTGACACTATTTGAGGTCAGAGAGGAAGCTCTGTTGTGGTGTGCAGAAGATCGGCCCCGTGGTGCGGGTATTGCTAGAAGTCGTTACTTGCTTGACCGGGGTGTTGAAGAGGGTGCAACGTCCAAGAATGTGGGTGCATCGTCTTCGGGAGACCTGAATGCTCTCTTGCAAGAGGTAGTGAAGGCAGTAGCTCAACAAGGGAAAGCGATCAGAGAGCTAACAAAGAGTCAGTCCAAGTTTGGAAAGGCCCCAAAGGGCTAAGGTTAGGCCCAGATATACTCGGGATGGTTAGCCAATTTGCTTGAGGTGTGAGGCTGTGGGACATATAGCCCGCCAGTGTACGGCGCGGCTTAATCAGGAAGGTCAGGTGTTGGCCTCTGGGGAAACAATGGCGACAGAAAACAGGGTCCCTCTATTGCACAGAGCCGAGCAATGAGAGGGGGTGTCCATGGCTCAAGCAACAGCCCACTGACTAAGGAGCGGTTCTTGGAATGGGCAGTGGGCCAATGCCCTGAGGTTGAGATCAGCATAGGGGGAAAAAGTGTCAAGTGTCTTTTAGAGATGGGCAGCAATGTGAGCACATTGGCGGAAAGCTTTTTTAAAGAACACTTACATGGGGAAGATAGGGATATGCACAGCACCTCAAAGTGGTTGCGGATTACAGCTGCTAATAAATTGCCCCTCCCATATTTGGGATACGTCGAGTTGGATATTCAGGTGATGGGAGTAACGATACCTGGCTGTGGATTCTTGATAATCCGAGACCAGAAAGATGGAGAAGTTGATCATTCACCGTCAGGCATCCTCTGCATGAATATTGCTCAGCGCTGCAGACAGCTGATTCTGGCCGAGATTGATAATGCCTTGGCAGGATCGCTAGACTCAGATAGGCAGGATGCTTTTAGTAAGGTGCATGGGGAGGCCCTGACCAGAACGAACTCTACAGTTCGAATAGCTGGAAGATTTAAAACGCGTGTGCCGGCGGCCTCAGTTGCCATGGTTCAGGCTCGAGTTAGAAAAAAGCTGCCCATGACTAAGGGTGTGATCATGCTTGAACCTGGGGCAATGCCACTACCAGGGGGTTTGGTTCTTGTGCCCACTGTGGTGTCGGTTGAAAGACGGGTGTTTCCTGTACGGGTTCTGAATCTGGCACTGGAAGATATGTGGCTACCACCAAAAGCCAGGCTTGGGGTACTTTCCCGAAGTCATCAGGTGGACAGTGGGGCCTGTGACGTAGCATTCCGACGGATTTACAGAGATCATGAGGAAGTCACTGTCAGCGTGAGGTCGATGACGGAGACCAAAGGTGACTTGCAGTGTCCCTTGGACAGGGTACAAATGGGTGGGACTCCGGTTCAGCAGGCAGAATTGCGAGCATTGTTGAGGGAGCACGCGGATGTGTTCGCAGCGTGTGACGAGGATCTTGGGTACACTGATCGGGTGAAACACGAGATTCCCGTGACCAATGACATGCCTGTCGCTCAAGCATACAGACGTATATCTCCCAACCAGTTTGAGGAGGTGAGTTAGCATATTACCGGATTGCTGAAGTAGGGGGTTATTAAGGAAAGCTCAAGCCCATATGCGTCCCCGGTGGTCCTAGTCAGGAAGACTGACGGAAGTCTGCGGCTGTGCGTAGACTACCGGAAACTGAACTCGAAGACCCAGCGCGATGCATTTCCCCTGCCGAGGATAGACGAGAGTCTAGACGCACTGTGTAATGCCCAAGTGTTTTCAACCATAGATCTGGCGAGTGGCTATCACCAAGTAGCGATGCACGAGAAAGATCAGTATAAGACCGCCTTTGTCACGCCATTCGGACTGTATGAATATGTGCGGATGCCGTTCGGTCTCTGTAACGCACCGGCAACATTTCAGAGACTCATGCAGGCTGTAATGGGTGATTTGGTGTTCCAGATGGTTCTTGTCTACTTGGATGATCTTTTGGTCTATTCGAGTTCGTTCGAGGCACACCTGTCTAGACTTGAAACGGTACTTTGCCGGCTGAGGGAAGCAGGGTTAAAGATTAAAGTGGAAAAATGCCACTTTCTCCAAGCAGAGGTAAGGTTTCTAGGACACCAAGTTTCGGCCCAAGGGGTAGGTCCTGACCCCGACAAAGTCAGTGCAGTAGTGCAGTGGCCAGTGCCTAGCACAGTGAAGGAACTGCGATCCTTTTTGGGATTTTGCAGTTATTACCGCCGATTTATCGCGGGTTTCTCCAAGGTGGCCGGACCTTTGCACGACGTTGTAAATTTGTGCACCAAAAAGGGCAGTGGGTCCCAAGGTGACAAGTTATTTCAAGGCTCTTGGACATCTGAATGCCAGCAGGCATTTGAACATCTCAAGAAGGAGCTGACCTGCGCTCCAGTACTGGGATATGCCGACTTCTCCCTTCCATTCGTGTTAGAGACAGATGCCAGTAATTTGGGCCTGGGTGCTGTCCTTTACCAGCTTCAGGATGGGAGGAAGAAAGTAATTGCCTATGCAAGTAGGAGGCTGAGAGGTGCCGAACGCAATGACCGCAACTACAGCAGCATGAAACTGGAACTCCTGGCCCTAAAGTGGGCTGTAGTAGAGAAGTTCAGGGGCTATCTACTGGGGTCTCGGTTCACTGTTCTCACTGACAGCAATCCGCTCTGTCACCTTAACACGGCGAAGCTGGGAGCAGTGGGGCAGCGGTGGGCGGCCCAACTAGCTGTATTTAGTTTCGAGATCTGCTACCGACCGGGTCGTTGTAATACAGCGGCTGACGCTCTCTCCCGGAGGCCGGGGTTGGATGAGGTGCATGTAGTGGCCGAAGATACTGACTATGATGGCTGTGTGGCCATTTGTAGTGAGCTACATTGGGGAACAGCCATAGGCCCAGATCTTACAGTGTTGGGACCAGCGCTAGGAGAGCTTACAGAGGGGAAAGTTAGCCCAGACTCTGCCCTTGGAAACACTCCGACGTTACCTGGGTATACTAAGGAGGAGCTTCGTCGTCTTCAAGATGCGGATCCTTTCCTGAAACTACTGAAGCAGTTTTGGTGTGCCCGAAAGAAGCCCTCAGCCCGTGAGAGAAGGGGACTGCCCCGACAAGTGCGGTCATTGCTTAAACAGTGGGGTAAGATCAAGGAAGATGAAGGATTACTGTATCGCGTAGTAGATGATGTATTCCTAGGCGAGCGTCAACAGCTGTTACTTCCCACTTGCTTGGTTGAGCCAGTGCTGCGGAGTGTTCATGATCAAATGGGACATCAGGGAATTGAGAGAACCCTGAGCTTGCTCAAGCCAAGGTGCTATTGGGCAGGAATGCATGAAGCTGTAGACACCTGGGTGAAGAATTGTCATCGCTGTGTGCTTGCTAAGTTGCCGCAGCCTAAGATTCGGGCTTCCTGGACCCCTTTTCTGGCTTCCCAACCACTGGAAGTGGTCGCTGTTGATTTTACCACTCTGGAGCCTGCCTCTGATGGTCGAGAAAACGTTCTGGTGGTGACGGATGTCTTCACTAAGTTTTGTCAGGCGTTCCCCACACGTGACCAGAAGGCGGATACCACCGCTAAGGTGCTCCTGAAAGAGTGGTTTCTCAAGTACGGGGTGCCGCAGAGACTGCACTCCGACCAGGGGAGAAACTTTGAGAGCGCGGTCATTGCGGAACTTTGCAGGTTGTATGGGGTGCGAAAGTCGAGGACAACCCCATATCATCCGCAAGGGAATCCCCACTGTGAGCGGTTTAACCGCACTCTACATGACCTGTTGCGCTCGCTATCCCCCGACAAGAAGAAGAGATGGCCTGAACACTTGCCGGAATTAGTGTATGCTTATAACGTGACGCCCCACTCCTCCACGGGATACTCCCCGTATTATATGTTGTTTGGTACACAACCGCACCTTCCGGTTGATGCTTTGTTGGGACGGGAGTCTGAGGAAGGTATGGAAACCAACTGGTTGTCTGTTCACCGGGAGCGACTCCAGGACGCTCATGCTAGAGCGAGAGAGTATGCAGAAAGAAAAGCAGCGGAACGGACTGAACGGCATGAGAGTGAGGTGTATTGCCCGGAGATTGCTGTTGGACAGCAAGTTTACTTGAGGCACCGTCCGGCAGGGAGAAATAAAATTCAGGATGCGTGGGCACCACAGGTCTACGTGGTGAAGAATGTTCAGGGAACTACCTATGTGGTGGAACCAGACGG